CTTTGCATATACTGATCTATGCATATGGTGCCAAAGACACGCTTAGACTTAAAATATTAGCATCATACTTGCATTTTAATATTTAGATACATGTCAGCCAAGTGACCATATAATTAAATGCTCAAACTGGGATACTTTTAAGGACGAGAATTATTAATAAATACACTCAGCCAGCAGGCATAGATTGGGGCTGTCCTGGGCAGACTGGGACACAGGGTCACCTTATATACAAGTGAAGCTGAAATAGCAAACATGAGGTGACTCATTATAAGTCCCATGAGGATTGTGGTGGCAAGGACAAGACATATTATTTTGGAAAAAAAAAAATCTTCAAGCAAGAGTATTAACCTGGGCAAACAGATGGACTTCCTGAGCTTCATGAAGCCCTTGTAACCAGATGCAAAATTCTGCGCCCATGTGCATCTTTCTCAGAGGGGTCCCCGTTTCTATCATATTTTTAATGGTGTGTGTAATCGGAAAGACTTAACAGCCATTTTAAAGCATCATTTCTATTTTATTGTTTCTTATCAAGACTTATTTTTTAGGGTTTGGGGATCCTCCAAAGTCGTGTGATAACAGTGAAATCTTAAAAGGAATCAAAGTTTCAACAACTTCATATGAACTGCGTGCCAGGGATGCCAATTCTAGACAATGTGAACTCCAGACATTCATCTGCCTCCCTCTCCTGAACTGTGCACTTGACTAATTCAGCACACAAGGATATTAAGGGTCAGTATTTCAAAACCATTCCATTTCACTATCTACTACATAAAATTGCAGTTTCCTTTAAAGGTTTCCTCTTACCAATTCATTCCTCAGTGAATAACGTGGAAATGATATGAGGTACTAAGATTATATGTGGCATTAATGCTAAGCAAAATGCTGCCTAAAGCACGTTTTATATAACAGCAAATAAAAATGCTAAAAAAACACCTGCTGAATCTTGTGTTTTAACCTCCTCCACTTAAAGCAGGAGTCCTCGTTATAATCCTGAGCTTCCAACTGGACTAAAAGGCTAAGCTTCCAGAGGACTACAGCATCCTTCCTTCCGGTGAAAGGGCCTCCTGTGCGAGGGGCTTGCACATGAGATAACCTTGGAAAGAAGGGGTCCGGCAGGAGAGAAAAGTATCAGAAGACCGGCTTCAAGTTCAATTTCTTTACAGATGGCTTGAAACCGTGGTCAGCTCTCCACTGAAAGCAACACACAAGGTTTACTTTCTTTCTTAACTTTACTGCTGCCAGGATACACATGTACTTTTACTTTCTTAGGAGAAAATGTGTCATTTGATTTCCTTCCAGTTTATGTCCTCGTGCCAGCAACTTAAATGCTTAAAGAACCAAAGTGAATTACTACCCAGAAACGGTGGTCAAAGTTCCAAAATCTGATCAATAAAATTGCTCATCTACTCACAAATTAATCTTCAGCCAGTAAAGTCACACATTTTCGAGGTTATGAGCACACCTGCACCATTAAGCATTTATTTCACTTGTTTAAGCAATCTTCAGAAGTATATAAATATTTATAAAAGCACGCTTACTATTTTTACTCACACATAATTTTCTTTCTGCAGCAAAACCTGGTTTATTCTTTCACAACCCAAAAGCACCCTGAAGGCAGGGTCTGCATCTTAGACAGTTTTGTATCTGCGAGCATCAGCATGATGCCCTGCAAGTTGCTGCTGTTCTAGAAATGCTCCCCGAGTTGCACTTAATTAAATCAGAGCATTCTGATGCTGAATTTATGATAGGGCCAATTTCTAATTTTCACTTATATCATTCATAAAAACATTTGCAAAGCAAATTAATAGACCAAATAAGGAGCTATTTAGGCTATGCAGTAGAATATTTTTTAAAGAACTTCAGAAGCAATATCTCAACCCAATTCACGCCTTCCTTATAAACTACAATGTCCCCCAAGAAGGCGGCCGGCTCAGATTTAGTTCAGTGTGTGTATTTGCAAAGAGCGTCATTTCTGGCTTATTTACTCTCATTTCCCTGAAATTAGTCCAAATTGGTGATGTTTGACTACATTTTGTGATCTCTGTCGAGTAACCACTTATAGCCTCCTCTAACTTTCCATTTTCTTTTGTTTGTATCTTCAGCCTGTGAAACTGGAGAGCACTGCCAAACAGAAAGCAGGGAGGTGTGAGATATGCTTAAAATATGAGTCACAGTATATTTGGGGATTTGGGTTTCTTTTTTTTTTTCCTTTCCTCAAGCTATCAGCAGATCAAATCCTTCTTCCCTGTCAAGCCATCCTCTGTGTGGAAGGTCTGGAATTTGCTCACACAGGTCTCTCAGTGTAGGTAGGAAGGGTAAGGAGATCAGAGATGAATACTGCTAAGATTTGCTGTAGGATTTCCCTTTCATGTCAGAGCCACTCCGGCTGAGATGCCCCAGCAAGGACATGGCAAGGCAAGATATATTTAAATGGGGAGGTTATTCCTTCAGTGAATCACCAAGTCTACATCCATATTTTTATAACAAGGTAATACACCATGTGGCATAGGTTAGTGATTTCTTCTCTCTGTTTGTCGAAGGCCAGCCAACCAAATAAACTTAGTCAATCTGCATGACCCTAACAGGCAGCTGGAGAGACACAGACTACGATGCACGTGCATGTACAATCTCTCTCTCTCTCTCTCACACACACACACACACACACACACACAGGTCAACCAACTCTTTTTCCCCACCTCAACCAACTCTTAGAGCTGGTCTAAATTCTGCACTTGTCAACTCTCCCACTAAAGGAACAGGAAGGGACTTGACATCTTCTTTAGCAAAACCAGCATCCAAGATGGCCCCCTCACCCCTCACTTTTCATACAGACTGAAGTGCTCAGCAGAATGTGCTAGGCTGGTTTTGACACTGTCCTTGCCAAGAAAAACGAAGCTCTATCATACTCTTCTGGTGGCTAAAAACCTTGTAACGGGCAAGAAGGGAAGTTAAAAAAAAAACCCTCCAAAGGAAACCCCCTGAAACTTTACTTCATATATTTAGCCCTAAAGGAACTTCATTCATTTTGGAAAAGAAGTTACCTAAAAATGCCATATGTTTTTAAAAAGGAAAGACAAAGGAAAATAAGTCTGGTATAAAAAAAAATCACAAACGATATTCAGTTCATTAGACTGTGTAGGTGTGAACTTTTTAAGATTCTCTCTAACCACTACTATATGTAAGATTTTGTCCCCCAATAATGTATTTGTTATTTTTTCCAATGCATTTGAGTTCTGATAAATTCAAGAGGACGTGCAGTATTTTTAAGGCTGTGAGCGCTCCAAGGGGGAGGCAAAAAGAATGGACAGTCATTTGAATCACTGAGTGACAGGCCGGGCTAGCTCCCTGTATACATTAATAAATTAGAATTTTAATTGTGTCTCTGTCTGCAGGAGATGCCCCAGCACTTTAATATGTACCAACAATTGGCTATGTTCTGGAATCTGCAATGTGGCCTCCGCTGCTGACCTCTGAAACACAATTCCCAGTCTGACTACGGAAACTGTTCAGTTTGATCCTTTCAACTTATTTGAATCCTGACAAATAAGCTCACAGCTGAAAGGTCAACACAGTCATATTTCATCCTCCAGAGCTGTTCTTAAGACATCTGCACAACAAAGCACTTCTTACAGCACCTGACATGGGACCTCGGTGGCACTGTACCTCATTAGAAATGTCCCCAGCATTCACACCCATTAAAAGGCATATGGGTTGGTGACGGGTGACCAAATAACTGGTTTTGGAAGAGTCAGTAAACAACGTGCACTGTCACTCAACTGTGCCAATAAAGTGCTACTGTCATGCCGAACTTCCCCTGGACAGTGACAGTCTCTAAGCAGATGCAGAACTAGAACTTGTGGCCCGAGGTCAGTTCGAACTTTGTAGGATAATGTGGAGACCGGTACTGGTTCCCTCTGATCTGAGCAAAGTCAACACAAGCGAGAATTTGGGGTGACCTTCTGATCAAATTAATCGGCACCAAGCTATATCCACCAGCTCCGACTACAAATTCCTTCCCAGAATGTCCAGTGCGGGAAACTCATCTTTGCTTCCCATTCGAGGGATGCTCACTCTTAGCTATGAAAGCAGCTGGGCCACCAAGTACCTACAGGTGTCCTCCCCGTGCTGGAAGGGAGCGTGAATGCTCTGAGTAAAGTTTCTTTGAAAAATTTCTATGACAATTTTCTACCCCAAAGATTCCAATTAAATTTTTATGAACTCACTCCTTCTACTCTGCTAACCCCTGCCCTCAATGTGCCTGAAGTGAGAAGCTGCTAAAACAGTCTTTTTGAGTATCTTTATGTAAAAATTGCTTGCCAATTTTTATTAACGGTTCAGAAATATTCTGAAAACATCCACTAAAGAACAGAGTATGTATTACATTCATTACTAGGTCTTCCTTAATCCAAGTAACAGTTCTTGACACTGTCAACATTTGGGGCTGAATAACTCTCTGTTGTGGGAGGTTCTCCCATATAACGGACAACGTTTTGCCACATCCTTGGTCTGTATTTACTAGATGCCAGGAGCCCCTGTCCCCGCAAGATGTGACAACCAAAAATGTCTCCAGACATTGCCCACTGTCGTTGGGGCGGTAAAATCACCCCCAGTTGGAAATCACTGCATTAAAGTAAGGTGCGTGTGTGTATGTGCATCCTACTTCTAGACATATCATGAGAGAATGAGGAACATATCTGAGTACTACGAACTCTGCCTTAGTGGTAAGCTACATGACCTAAAAAGTAACCCATACCAGCAACTCCTTGTCCTCCAATTAAACTGTCTCATTAGATTTTTCTTACTCCCACCAAAAAAAATTTTGGTTGAACAGATATTTTCCCCCAAAATGTCACACTCCATATTAAACCAAAAATGCACTTTTTGAAGAAGACTTTCTTAATGATTTGCAATTCTCAACACAATCCACTTCTGAATGGCTTCTCCGCTAACCCAAAGAGTATAACATCAACTAAAAAAAGAAGAAGAAGAAGACTTGTTACCTGAAGGGCTGGTTGTTTGTCATTCCTCTTGGGAGATTTTAATCCACTGACTTGCTGCTGCTGTTGCTGCTGGAGGAGGAGCTGTCTTGCCACTTGAAGTGCCTGGAAGGAAAAATGGAAGAAAAACGGTGGCATTACTACCAGGTTCAGGGCCTCCTGCACAGAGACGGAGTCCAGGAAGTATACATTAGGATGGCATCCGGACTTTCCCATTTCCAGGCAAAGGAAACAGCAAACATAACTTCCAGTCTAAGTTGGAAAACTTTGCAGAATGTGTTTACATTTTCTTAGATTTCGCCCATTTCATCCACAGTTCCTCAGGCAGAGCAATCCATCTAAGCAGATGCTTTATTCCTACCACAAATCCGACATAAAACTCGGAGTATGGATGACTGGGACTTTGAGGAAGGATGGTGGAGAGATGCTGGGAAGGGCCTGGGCAAAGTCAGAAACATGGGAGGTGACAAAGAGCTCTTTTTAGAGGTATCTTCATCCTCCTTCAACTCTCCTTGGGGGAACTCGGGAAATCAGGAACTCAGTGACGCTTTCACCTCACCTGAGTCCAAATGAGGAGGGAAAGTGAAGCAGTGAATACACATTGTGGATAAAGTTATTTGTGAAGGAGGATTAAAACATGCGAGTCTTGGTGGACTACTTAAGAAGAAAACTTCGCCAACTGGACCTATAAGTCAACTTACAGGGTCCACTATGTACCTGTGAACAAAACTGACTGTGTCCGGCACAAAGGAGTCTTTGGAGCTGATACCACGGGATGGTTCTTATTTAAAGGTAGAAACTGAGGAGGTGATATCAACTGGCGATAAAGCAAAAGGAAAACAGGAGATTCCTCCAAAGTGCAGAATACGTGACTGACTGATCTTTTTAAAAAGTTCACAGAAAAAAGAAAAAAAAAGTGTCATCAAGAAACCCTTATTAGATCATTCACGGTCAAAGAATTTAACAGGAATAACAGCTGGTCCCACCTTTCCAGAGAAGGCAGCAAGATGAACAACAGGAAGTTGAAGTCTGGAGACCCTGTGCTAGAAAATCACATGAAAAGTTAGGTTATTGGAAACAACTCAGCTGAGAACCAAGAAAGTACACGTGGAAAAGATGTCAAGGAGGCTCATGAAATGATGTGCTTGGCGTTTAGAGACCAAACAAGATTTACTGGGGATCACATCCATGATCATTTCTACAGGATAACTAATTGCTCAAAGAAGATTCGCACACAGATGTGGTCAACGTATCAAAAAAATCTGATACTATAATCCTAGAAAGTGTGAGAAATGGGCTTATGATGGTAGCATGTTCCTCAAAGAGGAACAGAGATGTCACTTATATAAGAAAATGGTGTTTACAATTCCAAGAAAAGTTACAGTGACACAGTGGAGCAGGGAGAGACGAGATGGCACTGGGGGGTTCCTGTGCTGTGAACTCAGGGGGAAGGGAAAATGGAGTGGTCGCGGGGACGACTAGTCATGAAAAGACACCTAAAACTGTTGAAGCAGCAAGAGTGGCACTTCTCCTCAAAGGACAATCTCACCAAACCGAGCTTAGAACTGTACTGTTGTCACAAAGAGTATTTTTAAGACACCGTGTGAGGTTGAGTGGTGCCTCGGTGTCTACTATGTGCAAAGGGAGGTGATGAGACAGAAGCACAGATAAATAAAAGGGTGACAAAGAAAAGATCTTGGGAAAGATGAACCCCTCCTGTCCCACCTCCCCTCTGCACCCACCCCTCTAGCCCCTGCAGTAGCCTTCTGCCTATTGGACTCACCACGACCAGCCCTTCAGATGCAGTGGACAGGCTATTTCGTCTGGGAAGGGAGAGACATGTTCAAGAAAGCCTGCCTGGAAGAGCCTCGAGGAGAGAGGCTGTCTGAGAGGGGCATCTGGAAGCCAAGACGCCTGGGAGAGTTGCCTGAGACTCCAGCCTGCTGTCTCGGAGGAGGATTCACCATCACTGGACTCCGGGTTTCCTTGTCTCCTTGGAGACGCTCAGTACATGCGTAGGTGTAAAAGTGGGCAGAGTGAAGATTTCATTTATATCATATAAGAAAAATAGTCCCCTCTGCAAGGTGCCTGCAGGAGCAAAAGCCTCTCCTCCTACTATATATGTCCCCTTGGCTATTTCACATGAAGGTTTTACGGCTTTTTAATGTACGAAAGGGAACTGTTGTACATTTCAAGTGCTACCGTCAGAGCTCCTAGAGTAATAGACTGATCAGCAAGGAAGGGTCCAGCTGCTAGTGGGAAAGGCAGACAGAAGGTCCGCGGATGACAATGAAAAGATAAATGCAGAGAAAGATATGGTGGGGAAGAGGAGGAAGATTAGGTACATTAATATTAAAACAGAGCAAGCAAAGAAAATCAGAGCAGTGGCAATGCCACAGAGCCACAGATCTTTGTTGAAATAATTTACCATGTCTCACCAAATACTTGGAGAACAAGTACTCAATTGTTAAATAATCAAGTCTCAGAGAATCTATACAGTGAGCACCTCATTCCAGCAAAAGGTGTAATATTAAGTGTCTTTAAAAAAATGTTAAGTACATACACAAAAAACTATTCTTATATGAGCATGTTCTCATAAATGCACTTCAGCACAAGAAAGGATAAGACTCAAATTTAAGTTTTCAACAAATGTTTACTGAGCTGGCTCTACACATTTCAAAATGAGATACTGGAATCCTTGCAATTATTCTGCTGGGTTAAAGGAAAAAAAGCCAGACCCAACATAGGGTACATCAAATTACATAATCACAGAACAAACCCCCAGCCTTTTCACAGCATTTCTGACAAAGCCCCACTAAAGATGATAATCAAAGATAGAAGCACTGGGCGGAAAAGGTTTAGGACCTTAGGGAAATTTTAGCCAAACTACTGAAGGGAATAGATGATGAAGATGTGTAATATGGCTTCCAAATTTCATCCTCAAAATGAATGCAAACAGGTAAGATAACTTTAAATATTTGGGATGGAGAGATAACACTAATGCAAAGAATTCTGAACCTTGATATGAATTATTATGAATTATTCCACAATGATTCTCTGGTCTTATCATGAGTATGAGAACAAATCTGGGGCAAAGTACCAACACTCCCCCCAAATCCCAAAAAATCAACTGAGGTTTCAGCAAGAATCTTAAGCCCTAGCTTATTAGAACTTATAAACTGACGTGAAATCAATCAATAAAGGGCATTTGCTTTTCTGATTCCCATGGTACTTAAATCACTGTAATCTAGATTTTCGATAGCCACAAAAAAAGAAGAGAAATAAATCCTTAGTGTACAAGACTATGTATTTGAGCATCACAATACAAATCCCTGGGATCTACCATTGGTAGAAAAGTAAAAAACAAACAAACAAACAAACAAACAAAACACTTCCTGTCATATTCAGTAAATGATAATCAGTAAAAAATTTGGAATGACTGATAGAACCCCCTTGGAAATTGCACCAGAGACCTGTGTCCACTTTGTTTCCCATAGGTGCTTACCTAATAGCCATTTTTACCCGTTACATGCATCAAAATCATGAAAACCGTATTCCTGTCTTCCATGTCAGACTCCACTGCCTGAACCTCAGAGACGTGTCTCAACACAAC